CAGCTTCCTGTCAGTAAGAGCTGTCTGACAGTGGAGAAGACTACCTTGGAAGATAGTGAACTCTCCTTTGGCTTCCTTCCAACCATACAATTTTGTGATCTTAGGATTTTCAGTCCTTCCTTGGACTGAATGAAGAAATGAGAGAATGAACTTTGTGTGCAATACTCAAATGTCACTCTTCTGAGCATCACTTTAGAAAGCAACCTATCCCCCCCATCCACCCCTGCCAATTTCTCCAGAAAGAAAGTTTGCCAAACAGCAGTTTGTACCAACTAACCAGCATGGTAGAAGTCTACTGAGTGCCTCCAATTGATGTCTATTAAAAGTGCAAATCTGTTCATCTCTGATCTGACTCCCCATGAAGAACCTACAAAGGAACTTGAGTCCATTAATTCAGCAGCCAGCTGCTTCCACACCACTTAAAATTAAGCAAGGTTTGACCAGATTTTGATAGCATAACTCAGTGGTAGCTATTGAAAACCAATTAAAAAATACGTATGTACTTAGTTTTAAATATTCATGTTATTGAACCATTTCCACTAATGGCACAAATGACAACATAATATCTGACTGTAACAGTTGGCGGAAGCCATTCTCAAGTAGCAGTTGAACAAACAAAGATGAATTTTAATTTGCAATGCCGGCTGAGCTGTAATAAAAAGTTATATTCCAACTGTGGGGGGAAATGCAGCACAGCTTGCTGTAGAATTATTTACAGATGTGTATCTGATTTTTTCACCCCATCTTGTCCTTATCCACGCCAGATACACACATGCTATCTGTAGTTCTGTGGAATTTTATTTATGTCTTTTATCTTCCATTTCACAAATGATAACTGTTTGTGGGTAACACTGGAAATCTGAAGTTATGCCTGAGACATCTTCATTTTATGAATCCTGCAGTTGGGCCTGCCTGAGAGATATAATATTCCTCTGCCCCACAATCTTCCAGTTCATGTATTCTGACCATATTCCCAATTTCCTTTCTAATGGCTACATCTAACATTCCCTTGTGCTAATGGATGGCAGAGTTTAAAGGCAGCGCAACAAAGGAATCCAATGCAGCTGTGGAAACTTATGCAACATCTGTTTTTTGTTGTTCAATCTGATCCACTGTACAACAATGTACTTGTGTTTTCTCTTGTGCAAAGACCTTCTGCTGGTGTGGAACAATCCACAGTTGGAGACAACCTACAGTTTCTCTTCATCGGTGTCCCGATGCTTTCCTCTCCTTTCTTGGATAATCACACCTTTCTTCAGGGTCATCCAAAACATTAGGTAGAGTGAGGTGGCTGCCCCATCAGGCAGCAGAAACTGAGGTGTGTGTGAGGGTCAACAGTGGTGGTCCCCCTGGCTAACCCTCATTGAGTCGCCTGGCTTTTCCCTTTGCTGCAAGGCAGAAACATGTATGTGCCATACAATCTTTCCTGTGCCCACTAAGCTTGCCTGCTGCCTTAAGGCACACTGGAGGGTGCTAACAGAGGCAGACGTAGGGCAGGGTGACTGGTTCCACCACACTGGGCACTGAGCCTAGGGGGTGCCACAGAGAGTTGCAGCTATGACATAGTGAATTGAACAAAATGGAAGGCAAGAGGTATGGGGGGAGGCACAGGGCTCTGCTGACATTTTAAAGACCAAAGTCTGCCTCTGATTCTGCCCTGTTGTCAGTAAGCACAACTTCCATATGTTTATAGTGCTGTAGCGCTCTCTCTCCCTCATTCATTCATTGGTAGAACTTTGTGCCCTATCTTATGTGGGGGCAGAATTTAAACAAGAATCTGCTGGTAGATCTCCAGGTTCTTTGCAATAGATCAGCATAGGTTAAACTGCATTTTCAATCTAGTGTACTGCATTTCTAAAGTGAAAGGTGGGTTCTGGCAACTTTTTACCTTAGGTGACATAAAAACGTAAAGGACCCCTGGCAGTTAAGTCCAGTCGTGAACGACTCTGGGGTTGCGCCACTCATCTCGCTTTACTGGCCAAGGCAGCCGATGTTTGTCCGCAGACAGTTTTTCGGGATCATGTGGCCAGCATGACTAAGCTGCTTCTGGCTAAACCAGAGCACACAGAAACACCATTTACCTTCCTGCCAGAGTGGTACCTATTTATCTACTTGCATTTTGACGTGCTTTCGAACTGCTAGGTTGGCAGGAGCTGGGACCAAGCAAAGTGAGCTCATCCCATCACGGGGATTCGAAACACCAACCTTCCAATTGGCAAGCCCTAGGCTCAGTGGTTTAGAGCACAGCGCCACCCGCGTCCCTTAGGGGACATAGATAATCACAATATTACAGAATGTATGCAGAACTGTATGGATAGATCATGATGATATATGCAAACTTGAAAATCTTGTGGTTGTTGCCGTAATGGATCCATCATCTCAAAATGATCTGGCAACAATTCCTCAGTGAGGAATTCCTGTTCACAAAATCCTGCTTGGGCAGGTTCTTAATGCCACCAATTACAGAATAACAACTGAGGCTGGAAGTTACTGACTTGCCCTTTGAATGCTTATCTACCCCACAGATAGACTAGGAGTAGGAGTCCAATCTTTAAGCAGCCTAATACTTCAAACCCAGAATTATTCAGTGGCTATGTTTTAATTCCCCTATTCTGTGTCCCACCAACCAGCCTCAAATACATACATTTTGTTGTAATATCCCTTTTTTATTCCTTTTTAAAAAATGTATTTAGTAGCAGGCACTGCTGCTACTCCTCAAATCGTTTAATTTCTCAAAGTGATATCCGTGTGTTTCTCTGAAGATGACATTGTGATGCAGAGAGACCTGAAGTGAGAGGTAATGGAAGGTAATGAAAAAGTCAGCGATAGATGAGATGATGCTATGATGTGAGGACAGGCAAAACAAAACATTTAATAGAAGTCTGTGGAGCTGGAATTAGCCACTATGAAAGAATGAGCTGCATATGTCAGGGAAGCAATAATCTCATTGTCACTGTGTGAGCGAGTGGAGGGAGACTGCCAATGTGGTGAACATCTCTGACTTTGCCAGCTTCTTTCACACCTTGGGAGGGATGGTACTGAAGCTATGAAAGATGAGTGGGCTTTTTTGGCATGTGTATGAACAATGAAACATAGCATTACTCAGGGAGTCAGACTATTGAGCCAGCTGGTACAGATCTGATCTACACTGACTGGCAGCAGCTCTGAATGGTTTCAGACAGGGGACATTCCCTCCTGTACCTGTATATGCCAGGATTTTCTACATGCAAGACAGGTCTACCACTGAGCTACAGCCCTTCCCAGCAAAAACAAACAAACTCAGAATAAATGCTCTGTGCTGCATATAAGAGATGGTGAGCAAATTTTCTCCAGTCTATTCAGGGATCCCATAAATTAAATGCAAGTGTTGAGAAGGGATGGTTGGTGAATGCTACCTAATTCTGAGTGCATTTTTACACCTGTTCATTTAATGGCAAATAATAAAGCTATCAGTCATCTCATTTAATATTGTTGGAATAAGTTATGAACTTAATTCGTTTCGGAGGTCCATTCTTAACCTGAAACTGTTCTTAACTAGAGATGTGCTTTTGCTAATGGGGCCTCTTGCTGCCACTGTGCCGCCGGCACACAATTTCCGTTCTCATCCTGGGGCAAAGTTCTGAACTTGAGGTAACTCTTCCAGGTTAGCAGAGTTTGTAACCTGAAGCGTTTGTAACCTGAGGCATTTGTAACTCGAGGTACCACTGTACTTGATTACATACGCTTTACACAGATCTTAAATATAGATATTGTGTGTCATTTTTGCTGCCTAAAATAAACCAAATCACAAGTATTCACAGGATCCCCAATCATGAGAAACTCTACACCCCTCTTCAGTTGTTATTAAGCTCTACCTTAAGTGAAGGGAAGTTTTCTTTCTGCAGTTCTCTCACTGTGAAGTTCTCTTTCTGCAGTTCTCTTACTGCACATGACTGTGGCATTGTGGGAAGTCTTACTATGAAATCTTTCTATGCTTACTATGAGAACTCTTGCTTCTTTCTCTCTTACATTCTGGGAAGTTTTTGCCTCTGCACAAGAGTCTGAGAATGTTCTGAACAGTTCCCATTGAGTTCATGAAACAGTGTATCCTGACCTGTCCTTAATGCATTGCTGACCACATCTACAGAACGTGATTGTTGTATTCCTTCATGTTATGTTCTTTCAATATCAATCTTTAGTTATAATTTAATTAGGAGGTTTCATGCCTGTCTAGTTCCAGCTCTGTTTCCCAGTCTTTGATCCATCAATGATAAATGGACATATGTTATTCCCGCCTTGTACCTATGTTAACCAATCAGCAACAAGATGCTTTGTGTTTGTATCAGCCAATCAGCCACAAGCACACCTGTGGCAATGTTTGTAATATTCAATAAAGAGAGTTCCCGGACTTGCCCCGGGCAGACGCCTCTCCTTTGACACCCACCATTCGTCTGTCGTGATTTCAACCCAACATCTGGTGACCCCGACGTGCCAGATCCCTTACGCAGCCAAACCTCATACTTCACCCGACTGGAAAAGTCTCAGCGCGCTACTTCGTGAGTATGGGAGGGGACTTGACTAAGCTCCAGAAAGAGCATGCTAAAGAGTTGCTTTATTTAGTTAGACAGCGGGAGGTGGGTGTTAATATTTCCTTAAAAGAAATTGAACAATTGCTATGTGAGATAAATTGCCAATGCGTCTTTTATCCAGAGGCTGGATCTTTGGACGTAGAGACTTGGCAAAAGATCGGAAAGACCCTTTTTGCAGAACCTAGGGCTCCGATTCATTGTCTGCTCACTTGGCAGAAATGTGCTGATGCCGTTGCTAAATTAGGGCCCCAATTGGGACCCCAGGCGTCTCCTCTTCTGGCCATTGCAGACAATCCCCACCCTACCCGAAACTTTTACCTCCTTCTCCCAGCCAATCCCTCCCTGCTTCTCACCCTCCTCAGCCTGCATCCCCCCCCATCCCTCCGCCTCAGCCTGATTCCTCCCCCCCCATCCCTCCTCCTCCTGCCACAGCCCCTGTTTGCTCTATAGGAGCTGTGCGTGCTGCGCTCTCTCTGGCAAGGCAAAAGGGCTCCTGTCCTTAGAGGAGGAGTCTGAGTGGCCAGGTGAAATGCCGTCTGCTTTCCCTATCTCTTATTCAAACCCTGGAACTGCTCAACAGCAGATTTATTATGAATCGCTTCCTTATTCTGTAATGAGGGAATTAAGGAAAGCCATTGCTGATTCTGGTCTGAAATCCTCTTATGTGACAGGGATGCTAGAAGGCATAGCAACTGGTTACATTATGCTACCTCAGGACTGGAAAGACCTTATGCGCATGCTTTTGTCCCCTGCTCAGTATGTGGTGTTTGAGAGTGAATTTAAACATAGCGCTTCAGCCCTGTCTGATCCTCAACATACTGCCAATGAACTTTATGGTGCTGGTCAGTTTGCTGATATAACTGCCCAAGCAACACTGACACCTGTACATTTTGTTCGCACCGCGACCTGTGTACAACGCGCCTTTCGGAAAGTCCCTGTTTCTGGGCAACCGCTGAGCTCCTTTGTGAATATTAAGCAACAGCATTCGGAGCCATACCATCAGTTTATAGATAGATTGAAAGAATCAGTCACTAGGCAGATTGATAACACCACTGCTCAAAATGAATTGATGAAAAAATTGGCCTTTGAAAACGCAAACACTGATTGCAAGAAAGCTTTGCAGTCAATCATACATCGCCCTAAATATGAACTGGCCGATATGATTCAAGCTTGTGCGGATGTCGGTAGCCAGAGCCATGCGATGTCCTTGCTTGCCGGCGCAATCCAAGCAACCACTAAGCCTACTGGTAACTGCTTTAATTGCAAGCGCCCAGGCCATTTTGCCAAGCAATGCAGAGCCCCTGGCGGGGGGACAAACAAGGATGGTGCTGCCTCTAAGGCTAAACCTTCTGAATTTGCCATTGATTTGATCAATCAGGAGACCAAAGACTCTGTTTTACCTGGTGAAATTGTGCTCATGCCCACTCAATTGGCAGGTCCCCTGCCTCCTAAAGTCGCAGGTTTAATTTTACCCAAATTTTCTGCGGCAAAGGAAGGCATCCAGGTTATTCCTGGAGTTCTGGATCCTGACTATGTAGGCACAATAATGGTTCAACTCTGGAGCCATATGCCCATGCAATTAAAAAGGGTGAGTCTTGGGCGCATTTGGTGGTGCTCCCTTCTCATCCTACTGCTTCTATTATGGATACTAATTTGCACGAGCTCTCTTCTTTCCCTCCACAGCTGTTAGCTGTAGTCCAGAGGATTGGTGAGAAGAAACTTCTTCGTAAGTATAAAATCAATGGTATTGTGCTGGAAGGCTTGATTGACACAGGCGCAGACGTTTCTGTAATTTCTAGTAGTTGCTGGGACCCCACGTGGCCCCTTGAGTCTGCCTCTGCAGTCTGGGGTGTGGGTGGCCCCAAACCTCTTCCAAAAGCGTACAGTGGCTGCCTGTTTCTCTGCCTGATAGCTCTGAAACCATTGCTTACATCCAGCCCTGTGTGCTGAAAATCCACCTCAATCTGTGGGGAAGAGACTTGCTACAGCAATTACAAGCTACCATTCAATTTAATGAGTAAGCTTGCACTTCCCCTCAACTGGAAATCTTCTGGTCGTGTCCTGGCTATACGTTTAATTACATTCCAGCAATACATCAGCCATGGCACACCTTGCTGTTTAAGCCGTTTGTACATCATTTTACCCAAGAAGCATCATTTATCCCGCTCTCGATATCACTGCAATATTGAATTGACTAATGATTGTGATGCTTTTGTCTCTCTTCTCAGTAGGTCTGAATATATCTCTTTAGCTGTTTCTCTCTTAGGAGTTCCTGGATTGGCTGTACGGAATCGTATGAATATTAATTCTTTAGCTTGTTATGCAGCAAAAACCCTGAATTTTACTTCACAAGCCCTTCACCTTCTGAATAAAGAACAGAGTGGACTTTTATAATGGACTTTTATATAATGGACTTTTATGAAATCATGCTGCTATCACTATTTGCTCATGCTTCATCATTATGGCTGTGAACAAGTGAATGACATGTGTTGTTTCAATATTACTGACAACTCTAGAGCCATTCAAAGCCAAATCTCTCATTTGCAAAATCTTACACATCACATTAAACAGGACGTTGGATTTTCTGGCCTCTGGGATTCTTTCACCCAGTGGCTTACTGCTTGGTTGCCTAACCTTACTTGGCTTCGTAGTCTCTTTCAATATGCTATTTTCATAATTTCCATTTTTATTTTACTATGCTGTTTCCTCCAATGCGTTCCCAGCCTCATGAGTCTTTTCTCTCGGCTTCTCTCCCCCCCTCCACCACCCAGCAAACTGCTTGCTGCCTACATTGCGAAATGGCAACACCAACAGTAAACCTTAGGGGAGATGTGGGCGGATTTATTTTGGGCATGCGCTGGCAAACCACGTATCCTGAAGTACTTTTGTCCCATCGACCCTGGCAGGCTTATTTCGGGCATTCGCTGGCACACCACTAATCCCGAAGTATTTCTGCCTTATCCACCTGGAATGCCTCGCAAACAAGAAAAGAAAGGGGAGATGAAGGGAAGTTTTCTTTCTGCAGTTCTCTCACTGTGAAGTTCTCTTTCTGCAGTTCTCTTACTGCACATGACTGTGGCATTGTGGGAAGTCTTACTATGAAATCTTTCTATGCTTACTATGAGAACTCTTGCTTCTTTCTCTCTTACATTCTGGGAAGTTTTTGCCTCTGCACAAGAGTCTGAGAATGTTCTGAACAGTTCCCATTGAGTTCATGAAACAGTGTATCCTGACCTGTCCTTAATGCATTGCTGACCACATCTACAGAACGTGATTGTTGTATTCCTTCATGTTATGTTCTTTCAATATCAATCTTTAGTTATAATTTAATTAGGAGGTTTCATGCCTGTCTAGTTCCAGCTCTGTTTCCCAGTCTTTGATCCATCAATGATAAATGGACATATGTTATTCCCGCCTTGTACCTATGTTAACCAATCAGCAACAAGATGCTTTGTGTTTGTATCAGCCAATCAGCCACAAGCACACCTGTGGCAATGTTTGTAATATTCAATAAAAGAGAGTTCCCGGGACTTGCCCCGGGCAGACGCCTCTCCTTTGACACCCACCATTCGTCTGTCGTGATTTCAACCCAACACTTAAGTAAGGTTCAGGACTGTGTACACCATTTCCACACTCTCAGACCCCAACTTACATAATTTTGCCACAACATACATTGGGACAAATAATTGTTTTGAGTGAGGATGAAATGTAGCAGAATGGAAACAGTGTTGTACATGATGAATACAGGGTGGAATGGAAATTGATGCCTTCTTATATCCCTACTTAAAAACCCTTTCAGACCTTGTCACGCAATAGAGGAAGCTTCAGAGTAGAGAGGGTGGGATCGCCACACATAACCTTATTCCATCTCCATGAATAGGACTTATGAATGCCTGAAGGTGACTTACCATCTTGCTATATACTATATAATTATCAATGTGAGCAGAATTATTCCAGAATACCAGATTCTTTCTGGTGTTGAACCTGTATTTGGGAAGTAATTTAAAATAATCAAAGTGGCAGGGAAAGGAATGGACTTTCTTCTAGACTGATTGTTATTGCTATTGCTATTACTACTACCACCACCAAATGAAAAGAAAAATCTTCCAGCAACCATTTCTTCTTTCTCTTTCTTCCTGGAGTTCTTCATTTGAAAAGAATGTTATATGTTCCAACTTTCCTCCTGTGTCAAAGGGTCACCAGCATGTATTTGTGAAGCCTCGTGGGTGTCCTTTCAGTGTAATAGAGTTAAAATGCATTCAGAAGGTTAAAGCCAAGAGGGGACAAAAGAGAGAGAGAAAATGTCTTTCAAAAGAGAGAAATGTTGTGTACCACGGAAAGAACTGCCTGGGCTCTTAATGCACTTCTAAACATCATACAAAGGTCTGTTGGCCCTCTCTACAGGGGTTCAATGAGTGGTAAACTAATAATAGAGGATAAAGTTAAAACAATTTGGTGACTAAAAAGTCCTTTTCTTTTCTTATTTGATTTTTATCCCTTGTGTTTAAAATATCAAATGCAAGGAATGTGAATTATAAATATAAGATATGGATAAATGCAAAATGCAAAAATAAATGCATTATCAGAATGAAATCTAATAGAGTATTTACTTAATTAGTATATTTTAAACCTTCAAAGAGCTACACTCTTCCCCCATTCTTTATGCTCAAAGGATCTACTATAGGTTGATTATAGCATTTCAGTGACAATTAAATATGAATTATGCCAGGGGGCTTTTATCTCTCCGTACCAAAACAGTAGCAAGAGTAGTGGCATCAACAGGGGGGAGACAAAAGGGAGATTTTACCCCCTTGTTGCCCTTCTCCCACCACTGGCAATGGTGACAGAGTGAGCGTGGGAAGGCTTGCGAAGCCTGCCCTGTGCACTTCACTTCCCTTCCCTTCCCTTCCCTTCCCTTTCCTCCTCTTCACTTCCCTGCTCAGCCAAACTGCCCATCTCCTCTTACAGCTCAGCCAAACCATGGTCCAGGCATGCCACAGAGGGAGAGCCAGGGCAGCTCCCTAAAAGCCACCCTGCTCTGTTGAAGCTTCTGTCCTGTATGTTACAGAGGCACAAACAGCAGCATCAGTGTGATGTGTGCAGTGACAACATAGCAGAATGGTTGCTGGGGAACTGCCCCAGCTTGCCTGGGCTCTTCCTCTGTGGCGTACCTGGGCTGCCACCACCCGCACCACTCCCCTAGGCTGCTCACTCTCTTGCCTGACTGCCTGGGTTTCCCAGTTGCTGTTCTGTTGTCATGTAGTAGTTTATGTGGTCACCTATTGGATGATGCATGATGACATTCTTATAATATTATTATATATATTTTAAAGGCTTCTAAAAAGACCTGTAACATTTCTGCCTTACTTTATTAAACTCTTCCAAATAAATAAATAAAAATCCACATTTTCCTTTCCATTTAGAACTCATATAATACTTGGCATATGGAACATAAGAATATGAGATAATAGTTTCTTGAAAGAGGGATTGCCCCTGCAGAAATCATGCTGGTTCTGCTTCAGCAAAGCTTGTTAGAATCATAGAATCATAGAATCATAGAGTTGGAAGAGACCACAAGGGCCATCGAGTCCAACCCCCTGCCAAGCAGGAAACACCATCAGAGCACTCCTGACATATGGTTGTCAAGCCTCCAAAGAAGGAGACTCCACCACACTCCTTGGCAGCAAATTCCACTGTCGAACAGCTCTTACTGTCAGGAAGTTCTTCCTAATGTTTAGGTGGAATCTTCTTTCTTGTAGTTTGGATCCATTGCTCTGTGTCCGCTTCTCTGGAGCAGCAGAAAACAACCTTTCTCCCTCCTCTATGTGACATCCTTTTATATATTTGAACATGGCTATCATATCACCCCTTAACCTCCTCTTCTCCAGGCTAAACATGCCCAGCTCCCTTAGCCGTTCCTCATAAGGCATCGTTTCCAGGCCTTCGACCATTTTGGTTGCCCTCCTCTGGACACGGTCCAGTTTGTCAGTGTCCTTCTTGAACTGTGGTGCCCAGAACTGGACACAGTACTCCAGATGAGGTCTGACCAGAGCAGAATACAGTGGCACTATTACTTCCCTTGATCTAGATGCTATACTCCTATTGATGCAGCCCAGAATTGCATTGGCTTTTTTAGCTGCCGCGTCACACTGTTGGCTCATGTCAAGTTTGTGGTCAACCAAGACTCCTTGATCCTTTTCACATGTACTGCTCTCAAGCCAGGTGTCACCCATCTTGTATTTGTGCCTCTCATTTTTTTTGCTCAAGTGCAATACTTTACATTTCTCCCTGTTAAAATTCATCTTGTTTGTTTTTGCCCAGTTCTCTAATCTGTCAAGGTCGTTTTGAAGTGTGATCCTGTCCTCTGGGGTGTTAGCCACCCCTCCCAGTTTGGTGTCATCTGCAAATTTGATCAGGATGCCCTTGAGTCCATCATCCAAGTTGTTGATAAAGATGTTGAATAAGACCGGGCCCAAGACAGAACCCTGTGGCACCCCACTAGTCACTCTTCTCCAGGATGAAGAGGAACCATTGATGAGCACCCTTTGGGTTGGGTCAGTCAGCCAGTTACAAATCCACTGAGTGGTAGCATAGTCAAGACCGCATTTTACCAGCTTCTTTACAAGAATATCATGGGGCACCTTGTCAAATGCCTCGCTGAAATCAACGTAGGCGACATCCACTGCGTTCCCTTCATCTACCAGGCTTGTAATTCTGTAAAAAAACGAGATCAGGTTAGTCTGACATGACTTATTTTTCAGAAATCCATGCTGACTATTGGTGATCACAGCATTCCTTTCTAGGTGCTCACAGACTGTTTGCTTAATGATCTGCTCCAGTATCTTCCCTAGTATTGATGTCAGACTGACTGGGTGGTAATTATTTGGGTCCTCTCTTCCCCTTTTTGAAAATAGGGACAACATTTGCCCTCCTCCAGTCTGCCGGGACTTCGCCTGTTCTCCAGGAATTCTCAAAGATGACTGCCAGTGGTTCTGAGATCACATCTGCCAGTTCTTTTAATACTCTTGGATGCAGTTCATCTGGCCCTGGAGACTTGAATACATCTAAACTAGCCAAGTATTCTTGTACTATCTCCTTAGTTCTTCTGGGCTGTGTTTCCTTTGCTGAATCATTTGCTTCAAATTCTTCAGGTCGGGCATTGTTTTCTTTATCGGAGAAGACTGAGGCAAAGAAGGCATTGAGGAGTTCAGCCCTTTCTGTGTCCCCTGTTTGCATTTCACCATCTTCTCCTCTGAGTGACCCCACTGTTTCTTTGTTCTTCCTTTTGCTACGAACATACCCATAAAAGCCTTTTTTGTTGCTTTTAACCTCTCTAGCAAGCCTTGTTCTTCTATATACTTGTTAATTTTATCTTTAATAATACTTCCCACCAGTTTTCTTGGGGTCGGACACTGCCCTGTAATTTCCAATATTCCCCTGGATCCCTCCCCCATTTTCCAGTTCTCAGGTATGGAGGCTGATCTGGGAGACAAGATACATATTTTTGTTGGAATATCAACAATTTCACATTTGAGATCTCTGATAACTTGAGTGGATGACATCCAGACCTGGTGATTTGTCAGTTTTTATTTTGCTGTTAGACCTAGAACATCATCTTTTGTCACCAATATCTGCCTCAGTTTAGCGTATTCCCTTCCTGAAAAAGATAGACTGAGCTCTCCCCACTGGCGGAGGAAGGGGGTGGGGGAAGCGGCCTGCTCTGGATGCCATGCTAGGTCGGGTATCATTGCAGCCGCCTCCCCAACGCGCGCCGCATACCGTGCACTGCTGGGACGCGCACCCCCACCCCTGTGCCACGCACCATGTATCATGCCTCCACAGGCGGCGTGCCACACCCCCAGAACACGTGCCACGCCCCCGGGACAAACGCCAGCCATGCCCCCGCCTGTTCTCTGTCCCCGATGCTGGAGCATGCAGCTCCACCACTGGCCCTCCCCTATAACTTCTGTTGTGGAGGCAGAAGCAAATGATTAATTCGGCTTTTCTGCAAGCTCCTTATCCTCCTCTAGCTCACATTTGACTCCCTTGCTGACACCCATTGTCATCCAACGATGCAACCACAATCTCCTGCTGCTAATGTATTTAAATAACTTCTCGTTGGTCTTAACGCTTTTTAGCAATGTTCTTCTTTAATTCTTTTTTAGATCCCTCACTGCAAAAAATTGTGTTCCTTTTCGTCCTTTTCATTTGGAGAAGGCTTCATTTGGAGAAGGCCTGATTAGCTCTTGTAGCATCTTTGACTCTGCTCATTAACCACACTGGAATCCTCTTAACCCTCATGATCCCTTGCTTGATCTGCAGAATACACCCCACTTGACCTTGTTATTTTGTGTTTTTAAACAACTCCCAAGCATTTTTAAGTCCTCATATTTGCTCTCTATTTATTCACTTTTGTTTAAAATAAAGAAAATAATTGTTATTGGCGGTGGTAGTAGTGTCTCTGGGCACAGTTGACTGTTCAGGTGTTGGAGTTACATGCAATCCTGTAGTTCCACTTCCGCAACAGGCTCCCACTTCTCTCTCTCCTTTCTGTTGTAGCCTGAGCTGCAGATCCTCTGGAGCAGATTTTGGGGGCATGAAGGAAGAGGAGAGAAATGATAATTTTTGATGTATGAGTTGAGCTCCATCCAAGCTGCATCCCTTGATCTTTAAATACATTAAAAGACATAGGAACATCTGAAGATGCAATATACTATGTCAGGCTATCTAGAACAGTATTATCTATGGTGACCGGCAGCGGCTCTCCTGACCAGGAATCTTCCCAGCCCTATTTGGAGATGCCGGGGACTGAAATAGGGACCTTCTGCATGCAAATCAGATGCTCTGCCACTGAACCTTCCTCATACCGGCACTTTGAATTGTGCCCAAAAACAAATGGTGATAGCAGAAGCAGAAGCAGCTTTCACCCCTATGTTTGTTTTGGAAATGAGAAGCAGGAGCCAAGTGTACAGGATGAAATGAAAGCCAGCTTTTTGTCTCCTTTCAATTAGATTTTGCATCTCTTATGGAGCAAATTGCAATAGTCCATCAGGCTCTAAAGCAGGTGGGGGAGATATACAAACTGTTCATTAAGATGTTACTCTCGTTTTTTAATTGCTTCATAAAGTCATTCCATCCTAAGATAAATATACGGCAGAAAACATGGCTGTTTTAATTTTAGATCCATCACTGTGTCCAAGGTGTTTGAAAATCATGCAAAGGACACAACAGCAAACTTTCACGCTGATAAGAACTTCAGAAGGAGAAGAGAGAATTTAGGGACAGTTGGCTCAAAAACATGTCTGATATTTTTCCTTTGGGATTGTTGTAATGGAAACCGATTCTGGCCTGGGTACACTGGCTGCCAGTTAGTTTTCATGCCCAATTCAAAGTTCTGGTTTTGACCTATAGAACCTTAAACAGCTCAGGGTGGCAATACTTAAGTACTGCTCCTCCTCATATGAACCATCCTGGACCCTGCAATCATGACATGAGACTCTTCTTTGTGTGCCTCTTCCACAAGAGGTCCGGAGGGTGGCAACACGAGAACAGACCTTTTCTGCAGCAGCCCCCCAGTTATGGAATGCTCTTCCCAGGGAGGCTTGCCTGGCACCTTCATTATACATCTTTAGACAAGTGAAAATGTTCCTCTTCAACCAGGCTGATTATCATCCTATGTCCTATTAAGTGTGTTTGTGGTAGGAGGGCTATTGTTTTATTCTGTTATTGTTTTTACTATGTATTTTGGTTTTTATTTTATATTTCTAAGCTGTGAACCACACTGAGATTTTTGGATGAAGGGTGGTATACAAATTTTAATACTGATAATAATAATAATAATAATAATAATAATAATAATAATAATAGACACTGGCTTTCTTCACTCCTTACTTACCTAGGGGGCAGTGGGTTGCCATTCCCCTTTGCAGTATGAAAAACAGCAACTAAGTTAGCTTTACTCTCACTTTCGTATGCTTTGATTGAATATGTAGTGGAGGAACTGTTGTCACACCTGCTGACTCCATCCTTGCCTTCCTCTTGTACAATGGAA